TGTTATACATATGTATTATCTAAGATTTTATTAAACATTTTTTTCTAAATTATTGTTTTCTTTAGTCTCCGGCCCCAATTAAAAATTATTTGTATATGTATTTAATATGCGAAATTATACCCCGACTTACGCAAATTTGACTTACGCGGTTACTGCTCGGTCCCACCTATCACGTAAGTTCAGGGTATTACTGTAACTCATTTCTCTATTCAGTGCTTGTAGATGGTCAAAAGTTAAATGGTTTATTGTATCTAAAAGGATCTTTCAAAGTGGAACATGAGATGGTTCCTGTATACTTCAGCTGTTAGTTTCTCTCTTGTAATGTTGATATTACTATTAAGGTAGTATTTACACGTTTCATGGACCTGATCAAGCTTTATGGGTACCTGATGTTATTTGTGTCAATTTGTTAAAAAAAATTCTTGGAAAACATTAACCTATCTTTGGTTTTCTAATTTCTTAAAAAGTGAATATTTAGATAAAGTGATTAATTGATTAGAGATTTTTTTAAGTGTGTTAACTGGTATAAAAATTGATATTGAAAAGAAAATTATATTCTATGCTATATATATCAATATTATTTTCTTATAAAAAAATTAATATTTCTTAAAATTGTTATTTAATCAAAAGTTTACTATTCAGCAGTTGGTACAGTATTTTTTCTTGGTGTTTTTGATAATGAGATTAACTCAGTAATATGTCTGGATTAATCTCATTTATCATTTTCATTAATTGCCAGATTTTACTTTTATGAAATGGAAAATAATTGTATGTATAGTATAGCAACTAGATATGTGTAGTACAGTATGATATATATAGTAACTTCTATTAAAAATTCTTCATCAAATTGTATGTCATTTTCAAATCAGCTTGATATTGCTTATGTAAATGGACAGATGATTGATGTAGAAATGAACTTTTATTGGTATTATTTTCAAATTTTCTGTTAAATTATTAAATCAGTCTCATATGAATACTTAAATGTAATTTATGAAAATAACAGACACAGAACTAATTTATGGTATGTATAAACAAAAAACGATCTCTGCGTAAATGTTTTCTAACTCCTCCTGAGTTCTTCTTCGGGCACGACAGAAGGGTTACCCAATGGAACATCCTTTGGAACAAATGTGAATTTGTAAAAGTTTGTTCTGAAAGATGTTGTATCGGGTAACCATTCTGTTGCACCTGAAGAACTCAGAAGGAGTTAGAAAACATTTGTGCAGAGATCATTTTTGTTTATACACATCAGAAATTGATTCTGTGTTTGCTATTACATATATCCCAGTGAGGTGTGATTTAATTTAATATATGAAAAGTTAAGTTTATTAAATATGTAGCTTCTTATAGGGTTAATATCAGAATGTTTGTCACGTAATTGTGCAATTACTTTAATTTTATATATTAATTGAAGTAAAATGTAATGTAACAATTTTATTCCCCATAGCTTGAAATTGAGATTTGATATTTTGACTATATATGATTAAATATTGATATTGTAACTTTGATATAAATTAATATTTTTATTCAATTTATTATTTGCATTTTCAGATTAAGACGAGGCAAATCTTTTGGGCTCTTTGCCTGATTCTTATTTAAATGTTTTATTGTTTAGACTTCTTAAAATACAAAATTATTTTTTTATTCTTTTAGGATCAGAAAAATATATTGCGTTGTTCTCATATACAGAAAGAATTGATTTTGGCAGCAATAGATTGCTTAGATGCTAATTCAAAATCTGGAGGTTATTTAGTTTATTCAACTTGCTCTATTTTGGTAAGTTTTATTTATTTATTTATGTATAGATTGGCTTGTTGGTATTAATTTATTTTTATTGTTCATAAAATTTTGAGCCATACTGAATTAATTAATTAAAAAAAATAAATAATGATTTAGTCCAGATAAACAACACTATTAAAAGAATTATTTTTGGTTAAACATTCAATTGACTTCATTTTAACAAGTAACAAATTAGTATTATGATGAACATATTTGAAATCAAGAATAGAATATATAAAACAGGGGTATTCCTATAAGTTCTTATTTTTATATTAGAACAAAATTTAAATTAAAATATCTAAAGGAAATATAATAGAGTTGTTGATCATAAAACAGTCAATTGTTATCATTGGTGGCTGATAGACCCAGAAAATGGTGGGGCCAGGTTTAAAACAAATATTATTTAGGTTAATAATAGAAAATCAGGATTTAATATTTAAAAAAAAATGCCTATTTTTGGATAGTTTATTTATTTGCTTATACAGTCAACCCCTCTATAACACTGTTGATTATTCCGTATTATATGAATTCCATGTTGTACGAGCCATTAGATTTTACAAATACGTGAGCCGTTCACAGCCCGGCACACACATTTGTAAAATCTAAGTGACTCGTACAACATGGAATTCATATAATACGGAATAATCAACAGTGTTATAGGGGGGTCGACTGTACAGGTTTACAGTATTAATCAGTAAAATTACGAAGAATACCATGATGACCAGATTCAAAGTATACAATAGCATTCATAATTTAGTAAACAATAATTAAAACTGACAAAAATTTTTAAAAGATATTTCAAATTGAAAGTCAATGAAAAAAAATGTAAAAAATCTGCAATAAAATGAAAAAATAAATATAATTTAATAATTACGAATTACTGAAACAGTAAAAAATTATAAACTGCAAAAGATTGTAAAACATTGCACTGGCACGCATACTCTTACTGTATTTATGCTTATGCAAATTAAACAGTTAGAATATACTGAGGATTGGGTCAGAGAGAGTTAGTCCCAATTCTCCATAAACTTGCACGTATTGCAGTAGTGTTGCAACTAACAGCAACAGTGTGCATTTCTCTCTAATACAGGTATACCTTGAGTTACGTTGTTCTCGATTATACGTCGTTTGTCAAAAGAGTATATGGGGGAAAAATAAAAATCAAGTTTAAGTCATTTTATTCGACTTTACGTCCGTCTGCCACAAATATTGAAGTCTTAATATCATAGAAAAGCATTAAAAGCACATAAAATCGTATTAAAATATGTACATTTACAGTAAATGTTAATATAATCATCATAAATCCTAGAGAACAAAACATGAAAACATCTGTGTTTCTGTGCTGTCGTCTTATTTAGTGGTCTTTAAATGCTCATTATTGGCATTTTCCACGGTAGTTGCAATATCTACCGTTTGGTGTCATTGTCAGCACCACTCAATATTTGGTAAATTTAACATAAATCTTTTCTACTATCGCAAAATAATTTTAATAATGGTATTTGTTATTTGACCTTACAAAATCATCTTATTTTATAATGTCTTAGAAAACCACATTCACAAATAAAGAGTCTGTGATGTACTGTAAACATAACCAAATTGTAAACATGTACATTTACAAGTATGTACTGTACTCAGTGGTGATATTCAAAATATTTAACAAAGGGTTCGCTAACAGAAAATTTTTCCTTTTTAATTAAACCCCAAGCCCGAGATATCTCGGGCAAGTTACATAGCGTTACATAAAACTCAGGCGTTTGGACCCCCTAAAAATTTTTGTTTTTTTTTTTGGATTTTTGGAATGTTTTTTAAGTCTCCAAATTTTTTCAAAAATTTTTTCACGCCTGAAAAAATTTTATTGCGATTTTAATTTACCTTTAATGACGCAGGATTTACGCTTAATTGCTTTTTAATTGTTTTTTAATGGAAGTTTGATACCAAATTTCATTCATCATTCTAAAGTTGTAGTGCACAAATTTTCTTTCGGTAAAGTTATTTAAAGCTAGTTTCTGATGTCAAAAACGACCTCCGATAGTTTTTAAATTTTTTTAATTAATAGATTTTATTATATATAAGTTTAATTAAGTCGGGGGGTCGGAAATCGCAATAAAAATTTTAATTTTTTAAAAATATACGGCCAGCTAGTATTCACCCTACTATAAACCCATCGCCTCCCGAGACTTCTATGAGAATGTCCCGGGAAATCCAACTCCAGCTGTGTTCAAGGTCATCCAGCTGTTTAAACAATGACTCATCAGCGTCAGATTTCACAGAAAGACAAGACAAAGGAAAATAAAATCTGAAGCTTTTTCTTCAGAATTAACGCATTTCTTTCGTTTTTTCAGTTTTAAGTATTTTTTATGTTTAATTACATTAATATCAAAAATTGCTAGAGTCCCAAGGAGTTAACTGCTTTCCCTATGACTTTTTCTCAAGAAAAAACTTTTCTAAATCATTTATTTTATCATTAGGTATTATTATAATAATAGACAGATGTCATCGTTTCTCGAAATACAATATCTTTTTTATTTCGCTGTCGATAGCCCGACACGTGTTCCGCAGCCATCTTGTATTTTCTCGCGCGCGTGGGATTGTGGGATCCCTCGTATGACTGGACCTAGTTTCAAGAACTCTCTTGAGTCGATCGCGATTAAGGCTGCGTACACACTAGGCGTTTTTAAACGCCTAGTGTGTACGCGCGTTTTAAAGAACCAAGAGTTTTACATAGGCGTACACACTCAAACGCGCGCTTTTGGCCAAGCGCGCGTTTATAGATTTTTCTTAAAACGCGCGTTTAAAAACGCCTAGTGTGTACGCAGTCTAAATCTCGTTTCAGTCGAGATTGAAACGGTCGATGGAGGTAATATGCGAACGGCGTACAAGGGGAACATAGCGAACGGGGTATAAGGCTCTAGTTTAGTAGTGTTAAAGAGTATAATACGTATATTTTAATATATTTTTTAAAAGAAACAAAACCGCTGAGAAATGTTACGTGTGTTTAACAACGGGTTCGGAAAACTTTGAAAATGTTAACAATGGGTTCGGCCGAACCTGTGCGAACCCGCTGAATATCACCACTGACTGTACTGTACGTACATGTATTTGTAAATTTAGATTATTTTTTTTCTGTACTATATTAAAAACTAAAATTTATTTGTTTATAAGCTTAAAATAGATTCTTATTAACCATATGTTATTAAAAATGCATTTATAAATAAAATACAGAACTGGGAATGGTTATTGGAGGTTTAGCATAGTGACAAGTAAATTTGACTTACATTGTTTTTCGACTTAAGTCGCCTCTCCTGGAACCAATTACCGACATAAGGTGAGGTATACCTGTATATCTTTCTACTCTTTATCTGAGAGCTGGTCCAAAGTATAACATGCAATAACAAATATATTTTAGTGTGGACAATTATTTTAATAACAATAATTTAGATCATAAAAAAAACTAATTTGTTAATCAAGATGCTTTTTGTCAATGAGTAATTTGGTTTGCTTGATAACATTATTGATGGAGCCAGCTCCTCTGGCCCTACTCCTGATTGTTATTTAGAATCATAAAAAAAATTTTCAAAGAAACAGTATTACTAAAATTACATTTTTATTCTAAAACTGTGAAACTTGGCATTACATCAAAACTACAATTATATGTTTAATTTCTTCATTTTGTCTTTTTTCTAATGACATAAAATACTCTTGGAGTTTCAAAAGTGTTTTTTTTGTGTGTGTATTTTATTATTATTTGATTCAAAAACACAAAAATAAGCATATATAATTTAAGAAACTGGTTGTAAATTATCTCAGTTTTTACCCATTAACATTGGCTTTGTGTGAAATTTGAGAGGAGGGTGTTATTTTTAAGGTCAGGGTAGATGGTCAGTGTAGCCCACACACCAGCTGCTACTACTAATATCAATAAATCATTTTATTGTCTTCAAAATGTAAACTCTTTTTGTGATTTTAAGTCAATCAAATCACAATGTTGTTATTTTATTGTATTTGGAAGAATGTTTTCTTTAATGTTTAATTAACAACTAGTTTTGTTAGATGTGATTAATTTTATATTTTAGGCTCAGTTTAATCGGCATGCCGGTACCCCCGGAATTTCTGGCATGCTGGTTTCCCCTTTTTTATGTGGCATGCTGGCCATTCTGCAAAAATACTGTACTGTGTATTTTGTTACTTTGCAAAATGGTTTATGATTACAAATGGAAGACTAATAGAAGTAATTGGAACAAAGCTTGTTGCAAAATGCAGTGAAGGAAGGAAAATGATAATTGCAGGAGCTAGCAAATATTATGAAGTGCCAGAACAAATGCTTCAGAAACAACTCGCATCTGGGAATTTTAAGTAGATATATCTATTGGAAGACAACCTGTTATGAATCAGTGACCTACTTGAACTGGTGGAAATAAATCTTCGTAAGCATTCAAAAGATCTTGAAAACCATGGGTTTCCCTTAACTATGACTGATATCTGGGAGCTATCTTTTTAATTTTCCAAAAAACTTGGAATAAAGCATCCATTTAAAAACCAGAAACTTAATTAGAAACTTACTCCAAATACAGGAAAGATGCACATCATTTAAAGTTCCTACAAATTTCATTTATTTCATATATGTGTTTCACTTTATGTAAAATTTGTGTGGTGCAATAAAAAAAAAAAAAACATTTTGAGTATCTATTTCTATATATGCAACTGTTTTGTTTATATGTTTCTGAAATATAAAGCTATGTGCAAGAAACATAACTATGCACATCTTCCCCAAACTGTCCTATGTTTCAGAATATTTAACATGTTTTTAATTTCTTTTGGAGTAGTTTATGCACCTAAAGATGAACTAGAAAAGCTCACAAAAACAATCATTTTGATTTTAAATATTTAAATAATTTATTCCAATAGTGTAATTTTCTTATAATTTGAATTTGGAGATAATTCATTACTGTATTAACTTAATATAAAATTCATATTTTATTACTATTTGCTAGAAAATTCATATATGATTTATTGATGTACAGTTTGCATTATAATTGAATGCAATAACAGTACAATAGTAAAGTTGAAAATTTACAGTATTATTGATGTGTTTTTCAGAATTATTTAAAAGTTTAATTTGGTTTTTTTTTTATCCTACTTCAAATGTATTTTCAACAAAATTATATATGTACAAAAATGTTTATATTTTATCTTTTAAATATAGATTGCTTTATATTACTACTACAAATTAAAATTTTCATATATGTTCTAATTATTCAAAAACAGCCAGAAGAAAATGAAGCCGTTATTGACTATGCTTTAAAAAGAAGAAACGTGAAATTAGTTCCGACTGGTTTAGATTTTGGCGAAGAAGGTCTTTCAAAGTAAGTTTTAAAAATATTTCTTTAAACAAGATCATTGTTCATTATTCACTTGAAAATAATTTAATTAAAAAAATTTAGTCAATTATTTTAGAATTTTAGGTTAAAAAGTCTGTCAGTTCTATCAAGTTTAGATCTTGAACAAATTTCATGGTTGCAATCTTCTGTATTATTTAGGATTTCTTATCAAGGGGATTTTTTGGATTCTGGAAATCACTTGATTTTCAATCAATCATTATTTGATCATACTAGAATTTTTCACTCTAAATGCTATTATTTGCAAGATTAATTTCTTGTTTAGAAAATTTTCTATCTTCTTTTCCAACAAACTTATATCAAGCATTATCATTACATACTATTGCTGTTAAAAACAATATATATCATAGCTAATTACATCTTAAACAAAGATTTGCCTAAAATGTTTTGTAATAGATTTTATTGTATTAGTTTAGCAAGTTTTAACTAATCATTTGTCATGGGATAAAATGTAAATGTGTTTCTATATATAATAAAAATTGATAGAATTAATTCACTCATGTTTCTTAATAGTATACAAAAGAATTNAAAACAGGAGTAAGAAATAACAAAAACACAGTAAATTAATCATTTTGGTATTTAGATTTAATGTTATCGAGTTAGTGTTGTTTGTTTATATTTATTTATAACTTGTAACATGCACAAAATAAAAAGGGAAATAATATTAGTCACATGTAGTCACAATTTATAATTACAAAGATCAGCACATGTACACATCTATTGTTGAGAATCCTCACACACATGAGGGTCTGACCCTGCCTATCCTTCTTTTTAAGTGCTTGTCTTTGCTCTTCCCTTTCTCTTTCCTCTATCGCTCTAATCCACGTATGCCTGTGCATACATCATAATAGGGGCTCATGATACTTTCGATTCGTCACTTTTCCATCGTAGAGTTCCCATTTTACAATTACGTGACTCGGCCTGGTGATAACAGAGAAAAGAGACAGACAGGACGTTGGTATAAGTCACAGTTATGATTTCAGATTCGAGACAGCTTGATAGCCCGAATGGCCCCAGGCTTTCGCCCGTGCACGCTAAGTGACTTTCATTACAAGCATTTAGCTTTCTGAAGTCTATGACAACAATTATTTGGCATTGATGGCCGTGAATTTCGTGCCAATAGGATGTCTCGACTTNAGACAGCTTGATAGCCCGAATGGCCCCAGGCTTTCGCCCGTGCACGCTAAGTGACTTTCATTACAAGCATTTAGCTTTCTGAAGTCTATGACAACAATTATTTGGCATTGATGGCCGTGAATTTCGTGCCAATAGGATGTCTCGACTTGTTCGATTATGCTATCAACTCAATTTCATATTTATTTTCACATTTTCACTTCGTGGTCCTTCTCTATTCTTTTTCCATTATTTACATGTGTAGGTCGTTTCATTATTAACCACATTTGATATCATTTATCACATATTTCCATGACACTCTTGTCTGTCTGTTACAAATGCCAAGAATTAACGCGATTGCCGAAGCATAGTGACAGCGGGCCAATAGAGAGCAAGATCCTTGCCATAATGCGGTTTGCGTGCCAATTTTCGTATGTGCATTAATCAAGCCGAATAGTTTGGCCAAATATTTGGCTGTTCGGCCTGAGGTCGAATATACTGTACTATTCATTGCAACACTAATATTCTTAAATAATNGCCAAAACTACACATCGCACGTGAATGGTGTTTGTATGTGGTGGTAGCCACAAGTCTCCATTTGTGCATAGGGGTGGTTGCGTCTCGATAGCTATAAGGGTGCAGGAGATATGAGGCTGAAAGTAGTTGAAAGTGGCTTTCTGTTTCAAATGTTTTGTTCGAATTTGTTTGAATTTAATTCGAATATTGGTTCGATTATAGAACAATCGTAAACGTTCCAGAAACGTTGAAAATAGTTCGTTTGACTGCACGTGAACAGGAGACATTCAGAAATAGAATTGGGACTAGGAAGTGTTAATATAAAGCGGCATGCAAGATTTACAGGTGGTTTTTTGCGCTTTTGCGAGAAATTGAACATATTTTTATGCTCATGTAAAAATTCTCTGGAAACGGGGGACCTAATTCTTGCATTTTGTGAAAACGGGTAAGATTGGCTATAATGTAATTATCTTAATCTTCACTATCGTTACTTTTTGCCCACAAATAAAAACCCAGCGAAGCGGATCCTTGCAGCTAGTTTATTTATAACTTGTAACATGCACAAAATAAAAA